TGCCGGACCGGCGAGCCCAAGAGAAGCCCGGCCTAGAGCCGTTCCGCCGTGCGAGGGCAGGACGGGAAGGTGCAGCGCGGTAGAGCCATTGCCATTGCTCACTGCAACAAATCCCCCGCCCCTGCCGGGACCCGAGCGCAGCCAGCGCTGCCTTGACTTGCCTCTCACGGGGACTGTGCGCGCTTTTAGGACAAGTTAGAAGGGCGCTCTGCCACCTTCAGGGCGCCCATTGCTCCCGGCACAGACTGGCCGCGCTCCGCAGGAGGCACCTGCTTCCCGCAGGAAGTCCTTGCATGCAGGGAAGAAGGATGCTACCCTCAATTAATCAGCGAGGAAGCAGTCCCTGATACGTAGCAGGGCAGCTATTACAGATACCCTTGCGGTCTTTAGTAGCCGATGACAGTAAATAATAGCAGGGCACTGTAATTAGTTTTGTACAGATTTAACAGTAACCTCAGAGGCATGAGCCATTGTGTGTGGGATGCACAAATGAGCTGTGCGTGTTTAGCGGCGCCCTTTGAGACACTGCCAGGCCCGGTCTCTGTGTTCACACAGAGACAGCAGTGACCTGTGCTGGGGCACCTGACTCTGCTGCTGCTCACATGCTGCTTTCTGGGCATGTGCTAAGAGGTATTTAACATGTAAGAGATAAGAGGTTTGCAAATCCAGGACAACCTCTCAAAATCTACCCAAAACAAGGGTTGGGGGGCTACTTTTGGGTCACCCTTAACAAACCTCTGAAATAAATCTTAAACTTCTGTTCAAGTATTACGTGTCAATTTCCAGTGGGAACAACATGAAACTAAGTAATTGCCCATTCAGGTCCATAATCTGATTATTTTGAGATCTTCAACTAAAATAGGCTGCAGAGAATGATAAAAATACCATCATATTTTTTAAAAGGCACTGAAGAAGACAGTGCTAAAGAGCATCTGGTGAAACACATCCAAGAAAGGCACAAGGCACTGACTCACTGATTCCAGAGCCATCATGCAGGAGACATAGTCATCTCAAAGCTAAGACACTTTGCTCCAGAATTGGGGAAATTGTCAGTGGTGTTCACAAGACACTTGTCATGATCAAGAGTCTTTAATGAGGAAGTTAAAAAGGTGACCTTTTCTGCAAAACGATGGGGAAACAGCCAAGAAAATGCTGATGTGTGATGCTCCTGCACCATCAAGCAAAATCAATGAGCCACAGCTGCTTACACAGCTTTGAAAACACATACAGCGTTTCCCTTGCCTTAATGTTCCATTTCATTGCCATTTGTCAGCTTTAGCATCTTGTAACTGGATTTAACTGATGGAGGAGGGCTTAGCAAATGGTAGGTTTTGAAGTCAAAGTTGTTTCACTACAGAAGAAGCCAGCAAGGATTGTGGAAGATCATCCCACGTTCCTCTGCCTGTGTGATGCTCTGTATTGCTGCACAAAGCCTGCCCAGCACAGAGCAGCATCCTGAGAGTGCCTGGCAGAGGTGATGTACATCCTGACAGGCATCAGTGTGACCATGCCATAATCCTGAAATCAGAGCATCTTCAGTACCAGGAACAGGATAAACAACTAAATACTGACTCTGAGATAAAAAGTACCTATCAACATCAAGGACCAGCAGTTATGACACTGGCTCACAGTGAGCTCAGCCAAAACCCAGGGGCATGGTTCTGGGATCATGTGTCATGCAAAATAAATCTTACAGGAATAGTCTAGTTGCTGATATGGAAAATAACAGTAAAAAATAGCTGACAGGAGTTGAAATAAAGTATATCAGTTACTTATCCATTCAGTTCAGACCCTGTACAGGTGACAGAAGTTGGGAGGTGTGGGAGTGGAAATCATAGAGTAAGCACATCTCAGAACAGTGTACTCAGGCAATTGACTGAAATCTGGCAGAATGGCTTTCCCTGAATTCCAGAATCAATACCTCATTGCAATGAGAGGTTCTCACCTCCTACATGTATTGCTTCAGGCTAACAAGTGCCTGTATTAGTTGACACCGGAGCCACAGCTTCTAAACACTTTAAAAAGGAACAAACCAGCCCCTTTTCAGAGCCATGCCATCATTCTCCTTTTTCTCCCATGTTTCTTTGCCTCCCACCACTCCTTCCTATAGATGGCACCGTGTTACCACATTTTGAATGGCATCCAGAAAAGGGTAAGTTAGTGATTAATTTAATATATATTTAATCAAATGAGGGGTTAACTGACAAAGGAACAAGCTGCTGGAGACAAAGCAGGTAACAGAAGTCAAAATGGCTTGTTCTGGGAACTGCAGTAGGGTAAAGCTTGAGATGCCAGGATGTTATAACATGATCCAGAGTCTTTCCTCACCAGCAGGAGGGCCAACAGTCTGTTTATAAGCTTAAATCCAGCTCACATGCATTAAGGAAACAGCAGTATTATTTCAAACCTTTGCTAGTCATGTGTGCTATGCTCCTCTGCCTTCCCGTGACAGAAGGAAACAAGTGCCTGCATCTCAGTACTTGCACCCAATCCAAATGCACCATCACTGTAGGGCTGATGAGAAAAGAAGGAAGAGCAAATATCTTGGGGAGGACAGTCCTAAACCACTGCTAGAAGATTTATAGAAATGTAATATACACTAAGTGATCTTGGGCAGCAGTACTGATAGGTTTGTCTGCTCCAACCCCATCACTGCAGTTTATCAAGCAACCCATTTACCTTTAGGACTCAGCCATATTCACTAACCCAGAATGCAGACACTGTTGACTTTACTAATAGCACAATTCCCCTAACATCTGCAGCACTCAGCCATTTAACACAAGGCTGCTATTTGAGATGGCAAGGAGAAACTGGGAGATGCTGATTAGAAGTATATTAAATTACACTATCTTGCAAAGAGCACACTTTCTTAAAGATTTAGGGGATATGCTGTGTGACTGTTCAGAAGACTAAACACAGCCATAAATGCTTGTAACAAGCAATGCTTGCATCCTATTAGCTCATTTACATCTTAAAGCAGACAAGGGACCTTACTGCAGAATGACACTGCACAGACTGATCTCCCTTTAGCAAACATGACAACTGTTAATCTTTAAAGAATGAAGATTTTACAAGATAGACTTCATTTTACACTAAGTAAACCCACAGAATAATCAGACTTCACTTTATGCTAAATAAATACCCTGAATGAACAATATTCTGCTTGAGTACAGATACAAAGAGTATCTGTACAATGTAAGGCAAGTGCAGTTGACAGAAACTGACAGAAGTTCCCTTTCACTGAATTACACTGCTGTCACAAATGTAAAGTTCTATGACACATATTGAGATATAACACCAGATAGTGGTGTATTGTAGCAGTTGGTAAGCACCTATTCATCCATCAAATGAATATCTGATAAGGAATAGGCAGAATAGGCAGAGGCTTAGCCAGAGGTAAATACTAAAGCAACCAAAAAGAAATTTCTAACAGAATGGTAAATGTAACTGTCATTCTAACATTCTTCTCTTTGCTTATTACAATTATACAGGGCAGCAAATGTTTACATTTCAGTGTTTGGTCAGTAAATCTTGATTCTTTCTGGGATTCCTTAGCCCTTTTCTCACAGTTGCTTTCACCTCCCTTGTAAAATAAATCAAATCAAATAAAGTCCTGTTCTCTGAACTCCAGATACCCCAATCTTAAGGTCAAGGATGTTTTTGCTACCACACCCATTTCTTTTAACCTCTCAAAGCCCTTTGATCAAGGGCTGTTGGCATAGGAAGAGCATTGCTACAGTTGATATTATCTGCAGCACTACAGCAGAAACCTGAAACAGTCTTGCTGCCAGCTGACACAACACTGCGTTTCTGCAAGGTGCCGCAAAACTTTTCAAATCGTTTTAATCTACATAAATATGGACCAAAGAGGCAAGAACAAAATAAAACCTCTGTTCTGAGAATTAAACACTTCATGTAATCCATGGTGCAAGGCGAAAAACACAAAAACAAAGTAAACCCCTCAAAAAATACAAATTTAAAAAAAAAAAAAACCCAAACAATAAAGGAAAGGCTGTGATTACTGCAAAACCACTGCAGCAAGGGAGTTCTTATCCTAATATCTAAACAATTGTGATTAAAATGTTAGTATTATGCACAGTAAGCCTCAGCTCATGAGATAACCTTAGTATTATTACTGGGGGAAAAAAAAGGCAAAGAAAAGCAGACAACACTGATGTGTCCCCTTCTCCTTCCAAGGATGTATTTTCTATATTTTTAAACCAGATTTACCCTTAGAGTATTCTGAGTATATTCTCCTATTGCACTAAGCTGAGCACATTACAGCTCCACAAATGCTGCCATTTCAACTTCCTGCCAGTTAAAAAGAAAAAGCACACACAGCCTCTTCTAAAGAACTAATATACATCTTCTTAGTACATCCATTGCTTTGCTGAAGGTTGAAGAAGGCAAGGTCAAATTGTATTCAGCACAAGCAGAAAGGTTTGTTATAGTTTTACTTGTGAAGGAATTTATTAACTGCAGACTGAACCTGTCTCCCACACAGGAGAATGCTCACCTTTTTAATGTCCTCATAATTTCCTGAGGTGAATGATTAATTTCACCATCATTACATATAAACTTCCCCTCTTTATGAATATTCACACTATAGCATAGTTAAAGAGGAAATTTGCAAGATTAAAAATTGATGATTTCCAAGTTTGTACTCAAATATTTCAGTGAACGTTTCTGAGATATTATAAAAGTAATCAATTCACTTCCATTTCACTTTAAAGCCACAGTGCACATGTACTATAGAAATTCACAGTCAAACATAAAGTAAGTTCCACAAGTCTCAAGCTTATTCATGTTTAACCTTCTTTTCCAGAATGATGTTAAGGATGTTGAAACAAAGTGTTAATAAACTAAATAATTTCATTTGAATGCAATGGGCTAGACTTCTAGAGTTAGTTATCTAACAAGTGCATTTGCTTCCAGGAATCCTCTTGCTGAGTACCCTGAACTAATATTTGCAATAAACAAAATACACCTTGCAAAAGAGGTTTGAAAAAAGTTGGCTTTATCTCTGTACCAATTTCTCACAGTCACATAGATGACTGTCCAGTTACTAAGAGGATAAAGCAGAAAGAATACACATGATGGTTCAAACTCCTCCCCCACCCAACACTGGCATTCATTTCATTTTCATGAAAAAGCAATCTACATGTACCTATATAAGAACACATATTTTACTGAAAGACACAGAAGTCAAATATCTTTGCAGAGAACAAACAACCATCAGACTCTTACATTCAGTCCAAAATGAAGTATTAGAAGTTCCCTTCTATAGCAGCAACTTGATTCCAGGAATTTCAGTTTTTACAAAAAACAAGCAGAGTCATTACATACTTTTTATACTTTCACTAAAGTGAGCAGACATGGGAACATTTGCCTTAAAGTGAATAAAAAATTTACAAATATAGTCTCTTCAAGTCATGGATTACAGGATTTCTGGTTTTTAAATGGCATCTCTGCATTGTTCACAAAAACCACACCTGAAGACAGTAATGAACAAAATTCTGTTAACATTGTAAGGCAACAAGTATGGATAAAAGGTGTTTTAGCTGGCAAATGAGGAATTCCAAATTTCTCTTTTACTAGTGTAGCATACTGAAGAGAGCACTGCAATATACACCATGGATTTTGCATGTTAAATTGTTGAATCCATACTGTTCTCCATCACTGTATTTAGTATCTGCCTATTCTGTTACCAAATTTAAGTTGCAGCCAGCTTAACTCCATTATGTCATTATATCTGCAAACAATTCAAAACATTCAAAATATGATATGCCATATTAGTTTTAAACATTAATAACAGTATTCCATCTTATTTTTATTTATTTTCAGAGAAATACTTACTCTACTTGGTCTTTAAAACCATTGCTGAACACTCAGTATGTGGCTGAACAGAAATAGTGTAGAGCTAACACTGACCCAAGGGTTACTGATGCAACTAACAGTAAAAGATTTAAATTACCTTCTGTGTAAATTCATCAAGGACAGAAGGATTCCTAAACATTCTCTCTTGGCTATCTTCACTGCAAAATAAATATTCTTTTTATTCACTTCTGGCTGGGATTCTTCATTACTTAATGCCTGTGCAAATGGATAATTTGTCTTTTATATCTTTTCCGTTCCCAAAAGACTGAATGTTTTCAGGGTGAGTGTTTTCAGAGAAGAGATGTAAAATGTAAAGCCTTTCAAAAGTTTTAAATATAAATCAACAAAAATCAAGGCACTTAATGTAGTTACATATGAGCAAAATAAATTATTACTGAGATTAATGTGGTGAAATCACAAAGTGATATTATTAGCAAGGGTAAAGTCTCTTTCTTTTACAGCTTTGGTTTGAACTTGCCAGAAACAAGCTTTTTCAGCATTTCAGAATTTTTTCCTTCTGGTGGGGAGGGCCATCTGTCATGATCTGAGGAAAACAAATAGAAGAATTTACTTAGTTGATTGAGAAACTAGACATTTTACTTTTGTGTCCTCCCACTGCACAACTTTGATCACTTGAAGGGCTTTACTTTGTAGCCCATTTCTTACCAGGTATTTCTAGGCCATGGCCGTACAAACTCTGGCCACCATCCACAACCATGGTTATCCCAGTTATGAATGATGCGGCTGGAGACAGCAGGAAACATACTGCAGGAGAGATCTAGCAAAAGAATGGCATTTTAAAATCTTAACTTCAAAATCTCAAATTTTAATCTTTCTTAAACTGCTAGGAATCGTTCACGTCAAAGAAGCTCGTGAAATTTTTTACAAGCAAGATCTAGTAACATTTTCTACTTAGTAATAAAAACTGTAACAGCCTTAAAGCCATCCCTCCAGCCACAAACATCAAGCATTTAACAGAGGAAAACCAGTATGCTGTCACAGAGCAGCATCAGATACCAAAAAACAACAAAAATGTTCATCAGTTTATCAAAGATGCACATTCTTGGTGGAAGAGAGCTAAGTGCTTTTAAGATACACTTTTCCCGCCCTTAATATTCATTCTTTCATCCCTTCCTGCTGAAGTCAACTTTTTCAAGAAATAATGTCTACTATATCTACAACACTTCAGCTGTAAGAGGCAGCTGAATTAAATTTTCTGTATAACAGTGACTACTGGTTAAGTCTCTCACTTGGCACAACCACACACTGGTACAAGCTTTCTTCTTTTTAAATATTCCATCACAGTGCAAAATTAAATCTTTTTTGTTCTCCATATAATAAAGTGGCTTCAAAATAGAGACAGAGAAGTAGGTGTACCAGAAGCATTCTGAAATACATTACCTCCTCAGGAACAGCTGACCTCTTGGCAGGAACCTTTGGTATGCTCTTTAACCACATCATTACACCTTGTTCTCCATAGTTTGCAACAGCAGTTTCTGAAAATACCAGTCCCTATTTAAAACAGTGACACTTAAGTTCTCTTGCATACATTTAAACTGATCATTCTAAAATTTGAAGTTGTCATTACTGATTTTCTGTGGGACTGAACTATCTAAAGAGCACTTGAATACAAATTTTTGAATGTAATGGCATAGTATAATTTATACAAGAAGGTACTTTGGCTGCTAGCCACATCTCTGTTCAAGCACAATAATTCTGATTATTCTAATTCTCTGCTGTCACTTCAATAACAAAAAATTGGAGTATTAAAAACTCAGATGCTGCTTTGAAATTACAAGCATTTCATGTTAAATTACAGCAGGAAACTACAAAGCCACAAGAACAAGTTCTCAAAAGTTTCTTGTCATTTGTAGGAGCACTACACTGATTTATTGTGAATTACAGAAGCAGATTTCAGTCAGAATTCTGACTCTCCCTACTTAGCTGCTTCAGAAACAGAAAAAGATGACTATGTTTGCTCTGGTGACCACACAGTCACCAGACTGACTGGTGAGAAGAAGTTTTGAGAAGGAGGATAGCAATGTGAACACAGAGTTACATCCACCAGTTAGGACAGAACTTTTGGGAGTCAAGTTAAAGTAAAATAGCAACATTTGATTCCACCCATGAAGCATATACGCAGATGTTGAAGATACTGTATAATGTATGTGAAACTGGTTTTTTCAGACAGCACACTTCCCTGTCTATGTATCCATTCCCCACAGGTTACTCTTCTCCCATAAAGCAGTAACAACTTCGTATTGTTACCACAGACCTGATGGGTCCACAAAAGTGACAGAAGTATTATTGTAACTACAATACAACGGGGACTTGTGTTACCAGCATAGTAACAAAGCTAGCAAATACTTCTAAAAGAGCCAAAGCCCTGAAGTGTTTGCTTGTCAAAAACGTCTTCTGACATGTGCTATAATATCTAATCAGCATGATTCATTAGGTAATTAGCATGCCTGAAAAGTATATTCACATAATAATGCTGTCTTAATTACTTACTTCCCCAAGACTTGATAAATCAGAAAAAGCAGATAAACAGGAAACACAAGTCAGTACATCTTAACATTTAACATGTCTCCAGATGAATTGGGTCTCACAAAGGTTACATAAAAGCCTTTACCTGAATGATTAACAAACATCTGCCATTAAGCATTCTATGCTATGCCAAACAAAGCAAGCCAGATGTTTTGGGACAAGAGACAAAAAGAATACACAGACATTCTACAAAAATAGTAGCAAGATCTTCCTAGGGATCACTTAAACAAGCATGACACTTCATTTATGACACTCACTGTGAGATAAGCTAAATTCTGGCTGTGGACAAAGTTTATGTTTCCTCTTTTAATTTCAAGGGAGTAAATGTGCAAAATAAATTGTGTATGAGAGAAAATTACAACAGATCACACATTCTCAAATGTCAAAGCTAGAGCTTCTATATAACTTCTGTATCTGCAGCAGTACAAAACATAGCTGCTCTTTCTATACAGTTATTTAAAACAACTCTACCTGCTGTCTACTTCCTCAGAAATGTGGCAGGCATATTTTAGCTGACCTGTAGAGTGGTTTCCTGTCTGCATGAATTTGTTACCAAAAAAAATCAAAACATACATTTTTACATATGATTTCTCTGAGAGAAGGTACATTGCAACTACAGTCTCTTTATATGCCTAAAACTAAACTAACTTAATATGTAGGAGACAAAGTAAAAGGTATTATGTGAGACATTCAGAGATTTTCAAAAGTTTGTAAACATAGGTGGAAACCATCAGCATACCTGAACCTCAAACAGAAAAGGTTTCCTGAACTCAGAAGTAATGTATCCATTACTGAGACACAGAGCATTCAGTAATTTCATGTCAAGGCTTTGTAAGACAGGTCACCCACTCCTACCAGTATTATTTCATTTAGCTATAAAAAATCTAAAAACCAAGCGTGCCAAGTCAAGGCAGAAAGCAGAAGCAATTTTATCCCACATCCTCTGACTCATCATCCAAAAGTACAAAACACTGTCAAATGGTCCAAAGAACACACTAAGGGAATTATAAATAAACAACTATATAAATAATCCACAAACAGTTACTGGTAATAAATTTAAAAATCTGTTTTGGTCCAAAAGCTCTAACTATGAACATGTGTAACAGGTAATTTTAATCAGACCATTTGCCATTACTTACAGGAGCAACACTGTTGATTCTCACTCCACTGTGAGCCCATTCTAAAGCTAAAGTCTTGGTTAGGTTATCCACTGCAGCTCTTGCAGCTCCTGTGTGCCTATGAAGAAAAGAAAGCAAAGGAAGCATCTGTTCCCTTAGCTAGGAGTATCCAAGTGGTAATTCCACTGCAGCTTCATTAGGGTATTCAGAGTAATTCTCTATGGCTGGACCAAGCATCTGGAAGAGAGAGACTCTCTAGTTTCCAAGTTTGACCATAGCTTCACTGTTTAAACAAGCCATGCTGGGATTTCCTGCAATTTCATTGCTAGAAATACTTAAAATCTCTTTCCCAATGCAACATGGGGTCAGCTACACTCTACTGCAGGAGGAGGCTTATAAAATAGAAACAGCTGAAGTTCAAACTGTGTAAAAATACCTGTAGCTTGCACAGGTAAAGCAACACTTGGAAGAACAGTGGTCTGAAAGATTGTTTAAATCTTCTGACAATCATGATTAAAGTAAATCACTATTCAAAAATTACTGTAGGTGGATGGAGATAGAGACATGAGAGTCAGAGTGAACTCCTACGCCTTGCTGCTGTAGGTAACCAGTCTGAAATGATTACAAGCTTGAACAAGTGCAAACAGAATTACTGCAGCAATGAATTGTAGACAGTTTTAGTCAGAGAAAATGAATAAATTTAGCTGCTTTAGCCTAGCAAAACAGACTAAGAGGAGACAGATACAATAGCTTCTCAGATACAGGGAAAGTATAAGAAAAACTTAAGAAAAACCAAAGATAATTTATTCATATGTTTAAGCCAGAAATAGATAACCTCCAGGCACACTCTGAGAAAACAGGACAACTTTTATGTTCAAAATTAATACTTATAAAAAACTCCTATCAGGTGACTTTAGGCATGAGTGGTGGCTGGACTTGTAAAGGCATATCTTTTTCAACAGTACACTTCTGCAAGAAGTTCCAATCAATTTAATTTGGAAGTAGTACCCATCTACATACAATGGTTGCTTAGGAAAATTTTTTCACCGTTATTCAGAATGAGCTTCTTTTTCCTCTTAGTTCAACTCAAATTGAAACATCTTCAGCCTATTTGCCATGATAGCTGAACCAGATACCACAGTGGAGATACTGAAATAACTGTAGCTTCAGCACCACCGTGTGGATCTCTATATTTATTCTGTACTGTGAAGAACAAGCTAGTGAGAAAATATGCCGCTGTTCCTTAAAAATGTTGGTTTTGAAAGCATTCAACCCTGAATGAGGACAACGAGAGATAATGCAACACTTGCTCAAAATATATTTTTATATTTCTTCAACAGAAACTCATTTTCCAAGTTAAAAAAAAACCAAACAAAAAAAACAAACAGCAAAGGGAGCTCTTACCAATTAAAGCTTCACTGGCAAGTCTTGCTTCATAGTTTCTTACAAACAAGTGGAGAGAGACCAGAGATGCCATCTACTGGATTAGTAAGAGATCCCCAGACATACAACCAAGTGATACTCTTGCTCTCTCTTGACCTAACTACTGCATTTCTATACTCTGCTGCTGCCCAGTGCACACCTCTCTGAAGTGTTTAGGAACAGTTAGTATTTCTGAGGGAAAAGTATAGGAAAGTAGTAAAAGAAAATATATATTACGACATTCCAGGAAAGCCATTTCTCACGGCAGCAGTAATGTTGACAATGGCTCCTCCATGTTCCTGCATCCAGGCATTGTACACTGTATGAAGGAGGAAGATAACCTATAAATATCAGATGAAATGCATACAAATGAACTTACCAACTGGAAACCAAACTTGGAGTCTTAACTGCAATCACACTACACATTGGTCATACTGGTTTAGAAGAACAATCTGCTGTTTGTAGCACAGCCTTGCCAATCCAGAGGTGAGGCCATGAGGCAGCAGGCACGGTCCAGGTAAAGCTCAAGGATTGCAAAGAAGCATTTGATGGAAATCAATTTCATGTTTTCATGCAAATTACTTTAATTTCCACATTTCAAATGCTATCTGAGAATGACATACCATACTTAAATTTAAGCCTAAATTTATATTCCCGAAGAAAGTATTTTCCTTTGTTATACACAGTGAGTACAGGCCACAAAAGTTAAGTGGTTTTCCTATAGTCCTTTAAATGAGTATCCAAGTCAACTGACTTCCCAAACTTGGCCTTAAGCAGAAGATCATGCTTGCCTTAAATGTATGTTTGTATTTATGAACAAATGTAATATACCATTTAATGCAAAGCTTGGGATAAGATTCAGGAAAACAAATACCCACTGTCAGGTAGGTGCATGAAAAGAAGCAGCTAGGGAAACTTGACATTTCTTATCTTCTGGTATTTCTGTAAAAAAACAAAACAACAAGTAAACATAAAAAGCTCAATGTTCAGACCTTACCTGCTTTGCAACAATAGAAGGTCCCTGTCAGATTGGTGTCTATCACAGCATTCCAGCCTTTTGCACGGATGGCTTCAGAAGGACTTGCAAACTGGCCCCCTCCATTATTCACCAGGAAGTCAATCTTCCCATGCAGACTCAGTGTAGACTTCATCAAAGCTTCTACCTGAAACAGTATTTGTTAGTGAGGTATGCTGATCAAGATCTACACCCAGTTTTCTTCTCAGACAGTGTTTTCTCCCTCATACCCTTTTCACAGAAGAAGAGGAGGTCTAGCCTTCAGAGAGGCTTTAGATTGGTATGACAGGATTAGCCAGCTAAGAAGGACTGGGTTGTATCCATGTTTACTTAGGAAATTTTGCTGGTATAATGCAGGTGTTGCATAAAATACCAGCCCCAAAGAAAAAGGGGATTTAAGCTGCCAAAGATTTGCAAAATCAAACAGACATAAAAGCCCACTACACTTGACCTACTAAGAATCTCCTGATGTTTTTCAGAAGAGTGGGGGTGTTCACATGAGATCTGCAAAGAGCTCCATATAAGGTAGCTACTGTTATTTTTATCTGACCATATACCTGACCATTTTAAATAGAAAACATAACTAATCTTGTGGAGTTTTATCATCCTTATCTAGAAGTTTAGTATATTCACTACAGCTCTGACATAGGAGCTGGCAATAGCCAGTCTTCTTACACAAGGCAAGAAGGTTAATTACCCTACAAAACATGAAGTCTAAAAAATGCTGGAAATACAAGTTGTTTTCTTTAGCAAAAATATTATTGCTAAGTAATAAGAACGCCATAGCAACAACTTAATATTTATCTCAAGAAACAGGAAATGGGACAAAATGATTGTTTCCTGCTTACATCATCAATCACAACTATATATCATGCATCAGTTATTCCTACTCAATCATATATAAAAAGATAACCTAGCATCTGTGGTCAGAGAAAAACACAGAAAAAAAATCCCCAAAAGTCAGGTGGAGAATGCTGCCACTCAAGCAGATTGGGCTAGGGGAAGGATATCAACCAGCCTTGCTCTGTATTGAGTTAGCAATAGAACATCAGAAACAAAAAAAAGTGCAAGCAATGCATTATCTGTATCTCACAATGAGTGTTACCAACCCAGTCTCACAAAGGCTGCCTTACTATTTACTTACTAATCTTTTATTTCTAACAGCACAGAATGGTTTAACAGGATAGTACGGATCCTGTAAGGATGCACCTCTTGAAAGGAAAAAACCCTAAGCAAGCATATAATGACTGAAAAACTAGTGCCTGCTGAGGAAAAAATGCCTTCAATACCTAAACTCAATGTTCAAATTCTGAATGTCATCCTATTCCTCACTTATTAATCACTACAGGTTGTGGGATGTGAGGAAAAAACGCAGAAAACCAAAACATCTGTGACAGCAGTCCCAAACTCACAGCTTGCGAGAACAGCCGTGCCACAAGGACATTCTGGCTTTTACTTTTCTCTTGTTATGAGCAAAGGAAAGTCATGTCTGGCTAGGCAGCAAAAGTTATGCTTTGCTCAGCAATATCAAACTCTTCTCCCTGTCAGTCTGAGAATCTTGCTTTGAATATTATTCTCTGTAAGTCCCTGAAATATGGGCTCATTTATGGAACACAAATGGTTTCATACAAAGAAGATTTGAACAGACTAAGGCCATTCAGTGGAAAGATGAGAGAGAGAAGGAAGAATGCTAATGATTAAAAAAAAAACAAAACAACTGAAAACAAATTAACAAGAAAAATCCACTGAGAAGAGACATTAAAGCAACTTTTCAACAGCTGGACAAAATGTATGTTATATGCTATAGCATATCAATTCAAAATGGTTCATATGCTGCATTTAAGGAACTGTTCTTGTTCCTACATGTTGCACCATATGCTCAGGAAAAAAAAATTAAAAACCCAACAACAACAAACACATATCAGTTCTGCTTTCTGAAAGCCAGGAAAGGGCAGAAGTCTCTCCAGTGACAGCTCAGATGGCTCCAACTGTAGCAATCTTCACAAAGCCTTCCGTGCTGCAGGAAAGTATCACTGCAGTGCTTCTCCCAGTTACAGTAAACACGGTGACTGCAGCCAGCAGCACAGGGAGAAGGAGGGTCCCGTAGAACACATTTAAACCACAGTGACTACTAAAGAAGATTCTTTTCTATTGCTATAATTAAGATATCCACTTGGAAGGAACTTCTTAGAAAAGCTATTAAAGACTCTCTTTGGAAGGAAAGCAAAACTGCATGAGGTAGAGCTACAGGTTTAAGACATTCTTCTGAAAAAGACAGAAAAGAACAAAATCAGGCACTTCAGACATAACCAGAAGATTGGAACACTGCAATAAGGAACTTTTGTGTGTGACTGCAACTTAGGGGTATTAGGCAGTAGCACATACTCACAGACAGCTGAGATGACAGCAGTCACTGACTCAGGGAAAAGGGACAAATGTCCACATGCATTCACGGGTCACCCTGGGTCAGTAAAACACACAGGCAAACAACCCACTACAGAGTTTTAGAGATTTGTGACTTGGTGGCTAGAACTAAAAGGCATTCTGGCACAGTGGTAACAGGTATTTTTACTGTGTTACTGCTGTGTTATTTAAAAGTACAACAACAGGAATCTCTTATCCACAGCTCCCCACCAAGCCACAGTCTTTCACGACAGGCTTCACACAGACAGGCATTAAGTATTTATAAACCAACTGAGCCTATGCTAAGCTATAAAGTTTATTGGAAAAGAAAAGCTACTAGTGAGTTCAGACACAAGGTATGTGCTAAGTAGCACATACCATCAACAAGTTGTCTTGTTGATGCCCAACTGACAGATTTTACCCTCGGGGTCTGGTCCAGCAGCAGGTTCTGCTGCTGGAGCTCAAGTATGGAAAGGAGACACCATGGACAGAATTCTAAATTGTTGATTTCAAGAACAGTCATGGCCTACCAGAAGTACAAGGATTTATCTTCACTTACCTAGACATGTAAGCTTCTACTTATCTAGGTGCCAGTTAAAGAAATGTTTGTCCACAGAGTATAGCAAAAAGGCTTTACAAGTGTAAGGATTTAAAGAGTACTGCTGCCTGTCTCAAAACACTGTCAAAGCCACAGAAGGAACTTACCATAAGATGATAAGCCACCAAAGCAGGAACTTGAGAGAAGCACAGAAGGGAGGAATTTGCAACAGGAAAGCATTATTTCCAGGCCTAGCAGAGGTAAGATCGGGTCAGAACATCTTGGTTAATGCATCTGGACAAAAGCGCCCACTGTGGCAAACTGTGGGAAAGGAAGCAACTGCTCATACACATCACCCCAAGATATGGGAATGGCACCTGTGAACACCCCATGGGTACTTGAAACCTGGCCAGTGTGAAGGTGGCACCCCCAGGAGACTGACAGGACACTGCTGCATCCATGGCTCGTGACTATCACCTGCTTGGTCTCTGTCTCTCTCCCTCCCTTCCTCCCCTTAATTCAGACATTCATTCCTCATGTCTTGTCCCTGTCCACAGATTTTGCTGTAGCTCAAAATTCAAGACACAAAAAGAGATAAATAAAGATACATGTGCACACAGAACTGTCTGGTTTGCATCTCAAGCAAGAGAAAACTGATCTGCTCTCAACACACTATGAGGACAGGAAATATGCAAACAATGAAAATCACTTCAGTTTCATAATCACTAAGAAGCAACATCTATCACTGTATACACTCCAAACCACAGGAAAAGGGAACAAGTGCACAACCACTGCTCCAGGATAAAGCCCCATGACAGAATACAGAAATATATTCTGATGACAGAATAGAGAAACCTCAGGTCCTCTTATCCCAGAACCTTCTACTCTGCCATTTTTAAAAATAAAACAGTTTTTTTATTCTTTACAGAACACTCAATGGAAAACTAGTCAAAGCAGCAGCAAACTCATGACAAAAATAAGCCTGACAGGTTATGCAGTGGTTCAAAATCCTCCATCAAGCAGGATTATTTCTTGCACATTAAACAAAAAGTAAGCTTTGCTAGAAAGCAAAAGGACCTCTGAAGATGAAGATTTAGAGACTTAAAAATGTGAATTCATTAAGCTATTCCCATGATACTTGCCATCAAGCTTCTGCAGTAATTAATTCACTCCACCTTCTTTGCCTCCTCCTAGGCCAGAAAGAGCTCTAGCAAACATCCTGGACTACATGATGAGGGATCAATCTTCTAATGCTTGAATTTCACAGATCCAAACTAGAAGCATGAACCATGTCATCTTCAAAGCAGGTCAGTTACTTTAAGATTTGCAATAGGAGGCAAAAAATAATCTTCTGGCAATTTGAAATCACCTTCATCTTTCTTAAATTTTACCTATTCAAAGTCCCTTCCTCCAGTTTATAAAATTCAAACCAGGACAAAATTTATAGAGGCCTTTAGAGAAATGCAGAACAATTGATGGAGAAGGAGGGATTAAAAAAATGGCATTTTGTAGTAAAAAGAAATGGCTTGATCCTATAGGTGATGAGGGCGGCTTCCTTTGAAACAAAGACTTACTCTTAAAAAGACTTCAGTGAGATGTCAGAGGGAATGATATATTAAATGAATTATGTACTTCAGGAAACTTCCTGGGCTTTGAAGCTTGTGATAGATCACTTCTGACATCTAAGGGAGCTTGAACTCCAAAGTTTTTTCTTTTCTTGTTGAAACATTTATACTGTTTTTCTCCTGCACATGTTCTTTGGTACCTGGTATAAGAGCTAAGAAGGAGGATGTTGTGACTCACAGGGAATTCTTGAGGAGGCTGCTCCTCTCTACCCAACAATGTGCTCCCGTGATTCCTGAGGTAAATACTCTTCACTCACACTAAGCTGAAAGCAAACAGTGAGTTGTAATGTTGCTAATGAGTAGCACACAGAGCCAACACAGTTGTAACTAGTCCCACTTCTTTCATGAGGGAAACCAAAAGCTGACATGCCCTCCAGTCCCCTCTTCCACTGTAACAGGAAGCTCTTCCTGTATTTGTGAAAATACTGAAGTGAGTTATATTACTGTGTTACCTCTACTCAATATTTGCCTCCTAAGCTAGAAAAATCCTTAACAATATCTTTTACTGATTCCTGTTCCTATGACTCCAAGTCCTAGGCACTAAATTTTAAGTTAAGAATGGAGTAGGTTTGGAAAGTGGATGTACAATACTCTGAATCAAAGTAAAAGCCCAAAGGTACTTTTCCTCTAGTTTCCACAAGGCAAGCAAGTGCAAATTAGGAAAAAAGTACTTTTCACCATTGCTGCTCTAGGAGACATAATAAAGAAGCAATAGTAAGCAGTGGGATGTGGAAAACCTGCCATACACCTCAGTTCTGACAGATTTTAGCAGTGTAAGTTAACAATTGTTAATTTGAGTTTATCTAGTTTCTAGTTACCTAGTTTCAACTTACACTTAGGTGCTTTGGTTTGTAAGGAAGTGCTATCCTCACTACAAATTTGAGACCTGAAAACACAAATTTCTGGTCCAACAGTAAATTTAGAAATTAAGTAACACATGGTCAGGATTTAGCAATCTTTGAGAATCTCAGCATTAACAGAAGAGAAGAGAGCCAGAGAGGCACAAGCTAAAGAATAAAAATCACAGGATGTCTCTAACCAATAAAATATCTGGTCTTGGAGATGGGCATCTGGAATGGAGAAATATTTACCAGGTACACAAGTTCTTATGTTAACATGCAACAGAAACTGCATTCCTTATTCAGATTGTCAGCAAAAGGCTTATGAAATTCTCATAGTATTTTTTTTTTCTAAATAGGACTTCAACAGAAATAAGAGCAGTTGCAGAACTGAAGTGAGTCAAACTCTAAGACTAAATCAATGACTGAAAAGCTCAAGACTTTCGAGAGTTCAATCTGCCTTTTTCCTCTGAAGCCTATCTTCAATAGAAACAGACATGAAAGGACAATGGTTGAAGAGAATTTCCACTGACAGGAGACATCCAATAGAAGCTTCACTAATATCATATGAAAAGTTCTGGGAAAGTTCAGGTGTGCCTGCAAATGTTTAAATTGGAAACAGGACAAATTTATGATAAAACTGCAAGGTAATAATAAAGACAGAAGTTTCTTCATATCTTTACACAGCATTATAAAGAAGGCTTGAAAATACCTTCAAAAATTTCCAAAGCCACTTAAGCCTGTTTTGTCAAATAGGTATTTAGCCACACTTAAGGAAACAAAGAAGGAACATCAGTTTAGTGGAGATTACCTCATTTCACCATCCAAGCAAACCCCAAACCATCTCACAGAACACTGTAGTTCTCACTGATCAATTTCAGACTGATCTAGAAAATAAGATTGACCTGGAGAAGGTTAAGCATGGCAGAATACTCTCTGCAAGAAACAGACCTGAAGAAAGCTTATCCCTTTTTTCCTCTTTATCTCTTTTCTTTCCTGTAGCTTTAATCATGCAAGTTGCCCTCTGACATCTGCCATAACCTATTATGTTGCACTGCTGATGCCAGTAAATACACACCTAAAATTCACTGGTAGGTGAAGTGACATACTGCACAGCCCCAGGGTTCATCTCCTTCAGGAGAGAAAGTCTGAGTAGATCACTATAAATATTTTATGGCATGAACTGTTCCACAAGGGAAGAATTTTAATTTTTATTTGTTCTATGGCTATATCGTAGAATATTTCCAGAATCCTTATAGCTACTGAAGGTCATTAATATTTAGGTTAAGAGAGACTTTGAGAGGTTTAAAAAAATGTAGCAATCAGTGGTTACTGGAAGATTTTCTAGCTGTTTTCAAAAACTTAAAAATCCAACCTGAAGTTGGACTTTTAAATATTTAATTACAGAGAAAAAAAATTATGAGGTGCATGCAGACTTCTGAAGAACCTGGATTATGTACTTTTGCTCTTGATCTTCCATTTTTTGTAAAATGAAGAAAAAATTTAAAAATCAACTTGAATAGTAACAGAGTTTGCAATGAGGCACACCTCAAACTGTAACCAAAATTTCTGACATGGCTAAAATATTATATATATCTCTGGGGTTTTTGGCTTACTACAAGCTAAACTGACAATGCAGGGCACTTGTATCAAGTCACAAGCATTAAGATTCCATGCTGTGCCTTCCTGTTTGAAGGAACTATTCTGAGGCTTCCATCTTCACAAGTTTACACCCCCTCACTTCTGTCACAGAAATGTGACAAGAATCATGCTAAGTGGGCTCTGCCTCACTGTAGAACATGCCAGTTCCAAGGCCTGCATCTCCCAGAAATATCTGAAATATGTAGCATGGTCAGAAATATATTTGCCAATATTTACGAATGCTTTTTTGCTTAGGTGGCTAACAAATGTCTTCCCTTGGGAAGCACACCTATCCAGATCAATTTTTTATCTTTGCTCCACCTTTCCCCTGATCTAAGCTACTTTTGAGAAGGCCAGAAATCTTTAGAGATCTGAGAATTTATACACACAATTTGCTTTTGATATGTTGAGCCCCAGAACAAGGTCAGTAATCTTTACCTCTTCTTCTTTGCGGATATTGCACTCCATGGGGGTCACCTGGGCAGGACTCACAGAGGCAAATCTGTTATTCAGCTCTTCTGCTGCAGCTTTTAATCGGTCAAATTTACGAGAGGCAATAACAACACTGCAACCTGTGTGTGGAGACAAAATGAAACATCATTCAGCTAACACAATATTGCTATATTTTTAGTAACATCATGGAGATGTCTTGTAGGATGTGCATTTATTAGTCACTGACTAGAAAATACAGTGTTGAAGTTCTTGCAAGAGAGAGAAATACCGATGTCAAATGCTTCTTAGCAACAAGATCCCTCTGTGCCAGGAAAAGAGCAATTAAAAAAAAATGTCCACAAGATTTCCTCTCCTTCCTGCAGTAGAGAAGATAACCTGTGTGTTGCAGAGTCAGCAAAGCAGCTTTCAGACATCACTCCTGCTGCTGCTTCTGCACACAGCTGCCTCATTTATCAATTAAGTGATTTAAAGATGTTTCAGCAGGTCTTGATTACAAAAAATGCTTGCTCTTAGAACCACAAAAATAATCTTCTTGTACAACTGGCTGTAATTTTGAGTAGCAGTGAGTAAATGTAATGGTCTGGTTTTTAACTCTACAGAGACTGAAGGAAAGGATAATAGCCTCACAAGATTAATCCCTATCTGCAGTCTACAGACAGTGGGAACAGAGCCCTCCCTGTGGCACTGCAGAATCCTAGCTGCAGAAAGGAGAGGAAAAAAAAATCAGGCAGGAGCTCAAGTACTCCTTTTTTTCAGCATTTGGAGGCAGAAGGATTCATTCTACAGAGAAAAAACAATGCAGGTGCCAAATTTAAGTCAAGCACTCACACTACAACCAGTCTAATCTCTTCTGTCACATCAGTGGACTCAGGACAGCTTTAAGGCTTCAGCAATTGTTACCACACAGACTAAACCAAAGGACACCAAATTAATTCCTAGTGCAAATCCAGCAGGCAATTTCATGTAATGATAAGCAAATGGATAAGCAAATTACTAGCCAAGCAGGCAAGGAAATCTTGCTGCCAGTTTGCTCCTTCCATCATCTTAGCATTTCAGCAGAAGTATTCTCTTCTTCATATCAGATCTGCTGCTCATCTGCTTTAATATAAACCATCCTCAACCAACCAAAAAAAAAAAAAGGGAAAAAGTTAGTATCTTGCCAGGCGTGGGAGTTTTTCCCCCCACCTCTGTTGCAGAGTGGAATTTGGCCTCTCATGTGATCAAGCAAACACCAGAATCAAATCAAAATAACTAGGGGGAGGAAAGAGCAGCAAGCTGTTCATTTGACTCACACAGTCTTGTGAATCTATATATTAAAAAAAATATTAAAAATAGGGGCGTTTAATTCTTCCAGGGGGAAGCTTTTCAACTACATATCCTTAGGAATAGGAGCTTCACCTTTAATTAGTGGCTATCTTAAAACAACACATATAAAGACAGTAGTCTCTGAGGTCTCGTGATTTTTTTTAAGAACTCCAGTCTCTTGCACAACCACCTAACTAAAGTTCATAAAATGCCACACACAATTACCAATTGTCACAAAATATTGAATCACAGTAGCCTAATTGTATTTACCAACTTAAGTGCTTATTAATACACACATTGATATAGAATAAGGTCCAGTAAGATATTATATTTTAGGTAAATGTACTAATTGGGAGAGGGAGAGATTCTAATCACTGAAGAACATTAGGTACATACTGTGCAAGCTGACAACATCACTTAATTTTCTTCACAAAGAATGACTGGACCATTTCCTGATGGGTCAGGAAAAAGGGCACAAGTTTCCAGATAAAAGGTTTAAATTTGTCCAGAAGGCCTCAGAGGAGACTGGTTATATGAACATTGTATATCACAACTAGCATTATGTGTCACTGCTCCTATGCCTGTAAGAACCAGTCCCCCTTACCTGAAGTGCAGGGTATACATGGAAATAGCTCCTAATCATTATCTTGTCAGGACTAACCAGCAAGCCTACAGGTAAGGAAGGTTATTCAGTCACTCTTAAGCTCTGTATATCTCTTTCTTCATTTTTTCTCATGTGCTTTGTATAGATTTGTTTTCTATTGTGTTCTATTTAGGCTGTTACGGACACACTTTTGTTATTGTATTTTTCTTGAGAAAAACAGCAAAAATCAAATTAATCACAATTTTAAGGTAACTGGGTAACATCACCAACCAACAGTATGATGATGCTTTAAAAGTAGCTCTTTAAAGCAGAATTTAGGGACACCTAAAAAAAAACAAATCCTCATTTCCCCATAATACAAAGGTAACAGAACTAATCCTCCATTCAGCTCTACAAAGCAAGTGGAAGCTGCGGCACAAAGGCCAGGAGAGGCAGAGACGTCTCCCAGCACACCCTTAACAAAGAAAGCTCTTTACTATGCAGTGCAGCGGTGCACATTCCAGCACCGCAAACCACGGGAGTGTGACACCGAGAGGTGCAACACCAGCGCTGGCATTCTGAAGGCGCCGAATCTAATCGTGACAATAAACTACCCAAACCCAGGCTGATGCCGATGATCCCTTAGCACAGTTGAAATCTGCAGGAAAGGTTTTGCAAGGTGGATGTAGGAGTCATTCCTACCTCTCCTGGTCTCATATCAGACAGTCAGGAGACTGCCTTTCACTCTAGGTTTTATCACTTCTCTGTATTTAGCGTGGAAAGAAAAGCTACGCCGTGCATCATGAAGACGTTCTTCAATTTCAGGACGTTCCTGAAACCGCAGACACTGGGAGAAGCACCACGTCTCTAAGATGTTACTGTGCAGGCAGCAGTTTAAGGATACTGCTCTGTAAGAATCAAGGTTCAACAACCTCGTAAATCCTCCAGTTAAAGCGAGACGAGAACTCACTGAAGGGAGAGTCGGAGAGAAATAAAGGGTCCTGGTTTAACATAACCTCGCTGACCTCTGTGTTTAAATAGCGAGTGTTTTGCGGGCCAAAAGGCACAGCCCCACATCAACCTCACCCCGTACCCCTTGCTGACCCTGTCACAAAGTCCCACCCATGGGCTCCTGGCACCGTCCCCGAGCGCCGTCAGGACCCGAAAGGCAGCAGAGCCCGCGGGCGCTTCCTGACGGCCCCTCGAACTCCACCCGCCCGGCCCCGCTGCCCCACCGGGGCTTCCTGCGGAGCCCGCTCCGCGCCCACCTAGCGCCAGCAGGTCGGCGGCGATGGCCTTGCCGATGCCGGTGCCGCCGCCGGTGACAATGGCGACCCGCCCGCGGAACAGCCCCGCCGCCAGCAGCCCGCGCCCCGCCGCCGCCATCTTCCCCCTCCTTGCCTCCCTCCCTCCTGCCCGCCTCAGCCGCGCCCGCCCCCGCCGAGTGACGCGCGGCCCCGCCCGCCCGGGGCTCGGCGCCGGGGACGGCGGAGCGGTGCCGGCGGTGGTGGCGGTGGTGGTGCCAGGGTCCTGCGGCGCGGCACGGTGCGGCACCGCGGGCGGCAGGTAAGGCAAGGGGAGCGGCTGTCCGCTGTCGGTATCGCCCGGCTCCCGCCCCGCGGGGCAGACGCCGCTCAGCGCCCGGGAGGGGTCGGTGCCTCCGGTGGCGCCGCGGGGTCGCCGCTGCAGCCCCGCAGTGAGCGCCTACCTGCCTGCAGCCGCGGGCTCGTCCGCTTGCAAGGGACGGTGGACTTGGTTTTCTATTCCGCTTCGGGTCACCTTCCCCTGGATGCGGGCAGGCACCCTGAGGAGCAGCGGGAGCGGAGCCGCACCGGGAGCAGCCGGGGGGAAGCCGGAGGATGTCACGGACAGGAGAAAGTGCTGGTGTGCGCCTGCCACGGACCCACGGGCGGGCAGTCCTCTCTCCGGGCTTGGACTTTGTAGGGAAGAGGCCGAGAAGGCCGAAGTGACAGCGTTTAGCATGCCCCCAGTAGAGTCATTTTGGGCTCAATTGCGTTTGTGGTGCTGCTGTCCGTTCCCCCTCTCCCGGCCCCCTTAAAATGGCCCTAACCAAGCTCAGTGTTAACTGCTCACAGGACAGGCAGCATTATTTTCTTTTCTGTCCCACAGTGAAGTGACAGAGCATCTTTGTCCGTTGCAGGTGATTTTAACCGGCGCTGATGTGCCCAGCAGCATGTGTGTGCATGTTCAGTGTCTTTCCAGGCATCTCCTCTGTCCTTTGCAATAGAAGAGATGTTTGAAAGTATGTCTCAATTTTGTCTTGTTATTTTTGCCTTAGGAGAGTTGGCTAATGTGAGAAGAGAGTAAGGTTTTGGGTTTTTTTTTTTAAGACATATAAGTAAAGTGGGAGATTCATTGAGTCTGTTTTGGGATTCTCATTTGTGAAACAAATTTATTTACTTTTCCAAAAGCATGTTTTAAGGTTTAGTACTTTAAATTGGGGACAATTTTAGGATAATGTGTTTATCCTGTAGGTCAGTGTGTTCTAATGGAAGCTGTATACCCTCCTTTTAAGTGTAGGGGAGGGGAGGCATGGAGAAGTTTACCGGGTGTCCAGATTCATTCACCTGAAATGAAGTGGTGACAAGACAGGGGTGCATTTCTGCATGGTGACTTAGGCCAATAAGGCAACTGTTAGACAAAATTGCCCTTTTGGGGTGGGTCAGTGTTTGCAGAACACATCAGTGTTGAAAGCATTCCACTTTCTGGGGGCAAAACGTGAAGCACTGTGAGTGACACTGCAAAAAAATTTTTTCCCCCCTTTAATTATCTTTCACAATCTGAGACTTCACAGATTCCCATTAACTGTCTCTGGCTGCCCTACATATCTTAGGCAGGCCGTATCAGAGCAATCATTAATTAATCCCAGGGAGAAGCACTCATCTGTGCTAGTGAATTAGATCTTCATATTCCAGCCTGCCTGCCATCCCAACTGAGCTGCATGGCTGTAAGGAAAATCCAGTGGGCCTTTCTACTCATGTGATCTCCTTGACTTCAGTGTTCTTCCTAGACAGCACTAATCAAAGAATTTTTCTTCCCTATCAGGGTATATTGCTTGGTTTCTGGAATTTTCCCATAGCCACAGAAATGCCATAAATAAGGGGCTGCACCCATGAGTAAGGGTTCTGTGAGTGATGGGTGGGAGGAGAAAGGGGAAAGGCATCAAGACTGTAGAGGAAGGAGGAGGGAAAAGGAGACATCCATTCCTTGGCATTCAGTGGAGGGTAGCCCCTTCTGGTACAAAATGTATTCACAAAAAATAGAGCTGGGATAACCAATGCTCACAAACATTTTCAGCAAAGTGGTGGCTTCTGTTCACTATTGTGTGTGTTGCCTTTGAACCAAGGATTCAAACTGTACCTTTGGGTGAATGGATTTGACCCCAGTCATTGAAATTCAAAATTATTTAAGCTGAAAGGAAGAAAATCTCATTAACTAAAATCAATTTTAATCTCCTCATATTCTTGTACTTTCTAAATCATAAAGGAATGTTACTTTTCTTTTATTGATAGAGAGCATTAAAACATGTCCATCTGTCACTCCACACAGACAGTAGTAAATTCAGTAAGCATAAGGGTTTTGCATATTGATGTTACTCTGTAAACTTAATGTTAAGATTCTGAATCTTTATGTGTTAGAAAATAGGGTCTGATTAGATAGCTTTTTTTTCAGTATATGTCAGCTTGAATTTGGAAGAAAATAAATCTGCATTTAAAGACTTGGAGTCTTAATTTTTGTTTTTTGAAGTTAACCATCTGACTTTTTTTGCCTTGGTAAAACTATTGCTTAAAACATCAACCATTCAAAAGTCAAAATGACAAAACAAAAAGAATTCAGTAGTTTTTTCCAGTTGTCAGCTTATTTGGAGTTGTAGGATTAGCATATGTCATTCTTGAACATCTACTTTCTTATTTACATATTGAAGAGAAAAAACTAGATTTCCTGGTTTTTTTAGATTTCCTAGCTCCCAGATTGTGTCTTGGCTTTGAATGAAGTAGTTCAATTTATTGAGATGAATAGCTAACTCTGTGTTTTTAGAAAAGGCTACTTTTGTCCAAAGCTGTCGTTGTGCTTTGCCAGCCTATGGCTCAGCTATTCAGCTGATGACACCTGCCAGTCCAGTCTGCTGCCATGCTTTAAAAATCCTGGCACTGATATGTACTGCCTTGAGAATTCCTTATGGCATCCTATCCTTCAGGGTGTCTGTGCCCTCCTATAGCTCAGAATCCACATTGGCAAGGGGAAAGGTCTCAAGAGTAGGTAAGTACCAACCTGATGTGAGAGAAGAAGTGGCTCCAAACAGGAGAGAAACCTCCTCAGGATCCAAACCCTGTGAGAGGTATGCCTGGGGTCAGCAGTCTCACAAGGAGGTGAGGGCAGAGGAGATTTAATGGAAAGCATCTTAGTGCCAGAAATAAAATTTTAAGGTTAGAGACAGCTTCTCATAGATGATTTCTGCTAGTTAGCCTTCAGAAAAATGCAGGCTTGCACTCCAGTAGCCTCTACTTTCCCAGACCCACTCTTATTGGTGCTCTAGTCTCATATTTTTCTTCTCCTAGGACAGCAAAAACCACACCAAGTGTAACAACAATAATTTCTTCTCTCCCATTACAAGAAATGCTTGGATTGAGCCAAAACCAAATGAAAGCTGATGTGAGTTTGTGTCCTTACCTCTCTAGACCTTTCCATGGGATTGTGCAATTCCTCTTTGGAAATCCCTGCTACTTTCTCCTACTGTCTGTACATTCTCTCCTGAGGCTGCTTTTCCTTTCATCATATCTCAAGAGCAAGTGAGAGCCTTTCTGTTTTGTGGCTTCTGGTTTCCATATCAGAACAGCCTCCTCCATCAGCTCCACCTGATGTTCAGGCTTTCCGGTCAGTTCATCTTTTTAGGGACTTCCTCTCTGGAAAGGCACTTTTCTCTCAGCTATGTCTTGGGGGATTTCAGTCTAATTACATGATGATTAGGATTTTAAAATCTTTTATCATTATCCCTAGCAATTTCATTCCAATTATTAAAAAAAAAAAAGGAGACAGACAAGATGGACATCCCACTCAAAGCAGAATTCACAGTGGTGCGAGATATAGAATATCAGCATCAAACAGTTTGAAACAGGTTTGTAAAAAGATTTTCTAAACAATTACACATTCTGCTAATACCATACTAATGATACTGAAGCATTCACTTGTCTGCAATTCAAAGTGCTGCATTTTTAATATCCTGGCATCACAGGTCTCTCTCTGCACTTGTATCCAATCACAACTCCCCTGAGCCAAGTAATTCCTGCTGCTGGAGATACTGTCTAAATATCCTAGATTGTATTTACCGTGCAATGCATTAAACAATCCTGAATCACTCCCAGGGGAACATTCTAGTTCACTCTCTGTGCAGTTGTGCTCTCCAGCAACTTCTGGGCTTCAGTCAGGTGTTACTCAGAGAAAGCTCTGATTTGAAGCCCCCAAATATCTTGCCTAAAGAAGAACCACAGGATGTATGTCTGCACCTTGTTGCTGGTATTTTCAGATAATGCTTTCCAGACTGGATTTACAATTGACTGTATTTTCCATTAGGCTGTATGGCTGCCACTGCTTCCTCTCTAATTGCAGGTATTTCAATGTGTGGTTTCTCCTCATTTTGTCAGAGCAAAGCACCACAGTCAGGTCTGTAGCAGAAGTCCTGTGTTAGCACAGGTGCTTCACACCCACCACCGGTGTTTCATGGCTTTGGAGCAACTCCCAATGTTTCTTACTTCCCCATGTGTGTGCATATGCTGTGTAGAAGGTGTTTTCTCTGCACTCTGGTTTGTGTATGCAGCAAGTTCTAGTGCATCTTCCAAACCCAGTGAAGGACAAGTTGGGTCTTATACCAATAAAAATAGATGCTACACTTCATCCCAGCCTGAAGGCACTGCTGTGGAGGCAGGATGTGTGACTAAAGTTGGTGAGATTGACTTTGTTCAGATGTTTCTTTGGTACAGTGTGATCCAGCAGTGACCTGGGAGATGGGGTAGGGATTGCAATGAGCCCCTGCTGTTTCAAGGTGCAGGATGGCCTGTTTTGGCAAGTCCAGAAGTGAGGGGTAGAGCAGGGCAGCAGAGAAAGCATGCCTCTACAGCTGAAATCTAATTTTTCTTGAAAATTTTGAGATTTTGGTTGAGTTTATTCAAGACTCATATCTAAATGCTTGGTTTCCTTTGAAGATTTCAAACCTTCCATTTCTAAATAAGCCTCTTTTTAAAACCTTGGTTCTCTTTAAAGGCTAATGTGTCCATGCCATTCCTTGATGTTTTTAGCATAGTGAAATAAACATAAAGAAACAGATATCATCCATGTGGAGGCAGTGGGAAGCTTTATGGTTTTTTTCA